GATGCCAGGGGCTTGGGTGGAGAGCAGATGTTTTGAGAATGATGAGGGCAATGAATGTACAAATGTGCTTTACACAATTGATGTGTGTATGGATTGTGAGAAGAGTTGTATGAGCCCCTAATAAAACGATTTAAAAAGAAAAAGAAAAAAGACCTGTGGTGAGACAGTCATCAAAATCTGACCACAGACTACGTATCATATCATTGGATTATCCCAGGGTGCGATACCCTGCATTTGATCACTGTACCATAGTGTGCTTGTTCTTAGGAATGACATGATGAAATGTTCAGGGTTGAAAAGCCATGACTGCTGTAACAGACTTTTAAATAATATAGCAAATAACAATGAAGAGAAGGAAAAGAACTGGGCAGTGGTTGAGGAAGTGGTGGGAATGGGGCTCTTCATTCCGGTAACTTTACTGCGGTGCAGTGTTGGGAGGGGGTAAGGTGGTATGGCATATGCCAGGACACCCCTGCCAAACGAAAGGACAAAGGACCGTACCTCCTCCCTCCTCCCACTAAGCAGGAAGCACAGGGCCCAGCCAGCCTTTCAGTCCTGCTGTAGGGAGAGCAGCTGACACATACTGAGTGACACCGAGAGCTGCTGCCAAGAAGGGGTGGGACGGGCTCTGAAGCAGATGCAGCCCAGCCTCGTGGTGTGTTCAGCACGCAACAAGTTCCAGTGCGACCCGCGGGCCTCCGTAGCAGAGACAGCTACACCGTCAGAGCTGATCCTGGCACAGTGCTGGGCCCTGACGGAGAAGGACCACCTATCCATGGGGCATCCACTGACTGTGTGGCCACCACGAGCCAGCTTTGGTGGACTTAATGAGCCCTGTGCCCCAGCAGCAAACCACCATAGAACGGAAAGGTGCCTTCAGAATCAGCCGGGAGCAGGGCCAGAGGACAGAACATGCTGCCTGGCCGGTGTCACCCACTGCTGTTGGGCCTGCGCCACTCCCTCTGGTCATACCTGTGGCTCTGTGACAAGTGTGGCTGACTGATGAGCTGACTCGGTATGCAGCTGGACAGACTGCTGCCCGGCATCCCTGGTCAGGGTGGGGAAGCACAGAGCTCTCCCCATGGGCAGAGCTGGAGGCAACACAGTTGGTGACCCAACGGAAGAATATCTACAAGGCCTGGACAATGACAAATGCCTTGGGTGGCAGGTCAGGAGTCTGGAAGAAAACTGACTGAAAGAGGCTTTACAGATGGAACTCGGGGTGGGCACAGAGTAGGATGATCTTTGACCTTGATGTTCATCAGACCATGTCCCCCGAGATAAGACTGACCACTCAGCTGGCCGACACCAGCCAGCCTTGGCCACTGGCCCGAGTGCTGCCGAGGGGTGCATGAGAACAAGCAGGTGACGGAGCCCGGAGCCCAGGATCCACTCACCACAGCCCATCTGCTGCCACCACAACCAAGTGTCTGATGACAGCACTAGGCCACCGCCATGGGATGGCGTGTGGAAAACACTAGACCTTCCTCCCTCTCTGAATTCATATCGACAGCGGTCAGTGCGGAGTCTGGGTGCAGATGGGCTTGCACTCGCTGCGTGGCTGCAGTGAGCACCACTATCCGAAGACTTAAGCGTGTCTGCTACAGTGACACAGGCTCCTGACATGGCCCGTGTTACAGTCAGGGTGGTGTGACAGAGAGCAGGGGGACACACCCCACCGCTCCTGTCACACACACCGGACAGAGAGCTGGAGGCGCCCTTTCTCCAATGGGCACACCTGAGGCACCAGTGTAGAAATGTCGTTCTGTGACAATGGGCCCATACACATGACACCAACGACCATTCGCAAGTGCTGAGGCCCTGGGGTCCAGACTCCAGACGGAAGTTCGGAGCGGCCCTGCTTCTCTCTCCTGCTTTCCATGCCCACAACTCAAGGCCCAGTCGGCCCAGAGGTCTTGGCTCTAGAAAGGATGCTTCACCGCCATACAGGCGGAATCCCATCCGATGGTGAGACACAGCTGCTGGCGGATCGCTCACTCTGTGCCAACGGCTGGTGGATAAACAAACGGCTGCCATCTTAGGGAGTGAATGGCCAGATCACAAGGCGGGAGGGCCATTATGACACAATAGGGCTGCTCAGGACATGCTGGCACTCGGGGACCAGTGGGGCAACCCGGGTGCTCTCCGGTCCAGTTCTGATGGTGCACGGCGAGCACAGCAGCCGTGAAGGCCCGAGCAGCACCAGCAGTGGCCGCTGCAGCCCGAGATGAAGGGCTAGGGGAACCCAACAGTGAGCTACCGGGAGGCAGATGGCAACTCCCGCATGTGGGTCTGAGACTGACAGCGGTCCGTCCCAGGGTTCCGGGGACACGCACACCAGCAGAGTCCCGGAGCCGTCACTTCAGGTGAAGTGAACTTACTCTAGGCACCAGGGGACTTGGTGGGGGCAAGCCCCTCAGACCTCTTCCAGCCCCAGGCCTCACTTCCTCGGCGGCCGGGGTGCTGCTGCCAGCTCTTGCCCAAGTCCTGCCCTCGGGCTGCCCCCCCAAGGAGACACACTCAGTGGCTGGTCCTGGGCCCTGGCCTGAATCCAGGACAGTCCTGAAATACCAGCCAAGCTCCCCCCAGCTCTCCGTGGGATTAGCTGCATGGGAGTTCTGCCCCCTTCTACCCAGCCCTGCTTCCCTCAGTCATAAAGCCTGCCTCCTTCCTCAGCTCACACCTCATCAACTTCCTGCCGGCAAATCGCCAGGAGTGTGGTTCTTGGAGCAAGTGACCCGAAGCCTTCTAACAGCAGATAACCAGCACCACCTGAGTGGTGGTAGCAGGAGCACCTTTTTGAGATGGGGTACCGCCCGACCCAATAATCATTAAGTACACGGAACGCTGCGGCTGGCAGGCCAGAGATGAACTGTGCAGTCGGGGGCAGACAAGACGCCGCCTTCCATAACAAACGGCAGGGAACTGTCTTCCACAGGAACCGCTGGGCACCGCTGCCAAACGCACAACAAAATGTTACCCAGAGAGAGAGGACGGGAGATCAAGAAAATACAACCACGCCGAAATCACACAAAACAAAAGGAACCAACAGTTAGGAAAATGGGAAAAACACTCAACGATCGTAGTTGTCGCTCGGAAACAGACTGGAGACGTCAAGGAGAAAACAAGTTAGCTCTAATGAGTAACTTTTAATAGAGCTACACTTGATCTTAGCCAAAAGGCCAAGAAGCGATAATGAGTAACTTTTAATAGAGCCACTTTCTCCATGGAAATCTTTAGTAAAAGGCAAAAGATTGATGCGATTTAAGAGAAACCAGAATATTAGCCACTTTCTACGGGAGAAACTCAGGCACCTCTTTAATGAAATGATCAAAGCAAACATCTCAACTACTGACACGGACACCTGTCCTTTGTTACACAAACGCACTTCGGTGGCACCCCTGCCAAAACACACCACTGGGAAACACCTGGCGGGGGAGTCTGTCAGAGGGCCGGGCCGACCTTACAATTAACTGTCTGGTGCTCTGCAGAAACACCAAGGTCAAGAAAGACACTGAAAAGCTGAGAAACATCCCAGATAAGAGCAGGGAGACCCGACAATCCAACGGAGCCTGTGAATCCTTGTTCCTGAAAAAATGGTGAGTTTAGGCAGAGCAAACCTGATGAAGCCAAAAAAGCCTAGCTTCTCAATGTCCCAGTCCTGAGAGCTGTGAAGAACTAGTCTTGAACTCGGGACACGGACGCTGAAGTCCCCAGGAGGTAAGGGGTGTGTCCCAGCTGCCGTAGAGTCAGGCACCCGGAACAGAATGGACAGCCCTGTGCCATCCACACGGTCAGGTGCAGATCAGACCACGGTGACCACACAGTGCTCAATGGCTGATTCCTCAGCCAAGAAGAGAAATAAAGTCCTGACACACAGGTGCAACATGGACGGACCTTAAACACAGAATGCTAAGCAACATTAGTCAGTCACAAAACAAACGGCATATGATGACATGTGTGTGAAATACCCAGAATAAGCAAGTGTACAGAGTCAGAAGTGTGTCCCTAGTTACCAGGGGTGGCTGGGATGGCAGGCATGAGAGAAGAGGCTGTGATATATAACGGACACCGGCCTTCTGGGGGATGAAGAGGGTGATGGATGTCACTGAACTGTTCATGGGAAGATCATTGAGACGGCAGATGTTTACCACATACAGTCACTACACAAATGCACGCACATGCACATACAGTCACTACACACACACATGCAGTCACTATACACACGGATATAGTCACTACACACATGCATATGTACATACATCACTACACACACAGTAACCACACACATGCACATGCAGTCACTACACACATGTGCACACGTACCGTCACTATTCACACACGCACATGTACAGTCACTAGACAATATGCACATGCAGTCACTACACACGTGTACACACACATGCCTAGTCACTACACACATGCACATGTACATACAGAGCTAGTCAGATAGATGCATATCAAGAACGCATCAACTGGGGGCGGTGGTAAAGTAATTAAGCTAGTGAAGGAGCAAAGGATATATGAAAGTCAAACTCACTGCCACTGAGTCAATTTCAACCCATAGCAACCCTATAGGACAGGGTAGAACTGTCACTGTGGGTTCCCAATCTGGAACTGTTTATGGGACGATAACAGGAAGAGAAAGCCTTGTCTTTCTCCCATGGAGTGGCTGGTGGTTTCAAACTACTGACCTCGTGGTTATCAGCCCAACGCATAAACAACATTCCACCAGGGCTCCTAAAGATATATCAAGAATTTTTTTTAATTAAGAATTTCTTATACGACTCTCAAGAGTTTCCTCTAAATTTGAAAATATATCAAAATTTTTATATTACCAAAAAGATAAAGCCTAACTTGAAGGTAATTCAAATAGTCTGTACCTTTTAACTCTTTTTAATGGTTCTAGAACTTTCCCAAGGCCTGCTCTGCCTCACTGTTTACTAGATGCCACGGTCAGAGATGCTTGAAGTGGAGTCAGGCAGAAAGAGTTGAGGACCCAGCATTCCCAGTTTCCTCCCCACCTGGTCCTCCTGTCCCAGGGGTCCTGCTCACCTGCCGTCATGGGAACGACGTCTGAGCGCAGGAGCATCTGGATTCGGCCGGCTGGCTTGTTCCCAATCTTGATGTCCATGTACACCTGAGGATTCGACCGGGCCTTTTTGGCCTTCGGCTCTCCCTGAGAGCAGAAACAACGGCGTCATAAAGAGCTCTCTGCCTCCCCAGACAGGAGGGCAACTCTCCAGACACACACCCAGGATACAGCTCTCAGAGGAGGAGCAAGGTGCTGACAGGGAAGGCTTTGGGCTGAGCAAGCTGGAGAAGAAATGGGACACGACCACCACCCTCAGCTGGACACTCGTGTCAGGAGAGCCCAGCACCACCCAATGCGAGCCCCACATCCCACCACCTCCTCTGTGCTGGGACTTGCATGTCCACAGGTGACAGTGGAAGCACAGAGGGCCTAAAAGCTCAGGGACAGCGGAGCACAGGGAGCCTTGTTCTGTGCCTCAAGTAAACAAGGTAGACGAGAGGCTGACGAAAGCACTGAATACTAACCCTCCCACCTGCCTGGCCTTTACCATCTCCTTTGTAGTTTAGTGCACTGACGCTGTTGTTAGGTGCAGTGGGGTCGGTATACCGGGCCTGCGTCACCCTCACAAGTGTTAGGCCTGGGCACACCGTTGCATCTTGCTGAGGGTCTTCCTTTCTCATTGCCCCTCTACCAAACTTGATATCCTTTTCTAGGGACCCATCTCTCCTGATAACAGATCCAAAATGTGTAAAGCAATGTCTTATCACCCTTGCCTCTAAGGGCCATTCATTCACGCTGCACTTTTTCTAAGACAGATTTGTTGGGTCTTTGGGTGGTCCATTGTACTTTTCAAGATTCTTCACCAGCAGCATTCATTCAAATGCATCGATTCTTCTTTGATCTCAACGATCTTACTCAATGTCCAATGTATTAACATACTGACCTATCAGGCCAAGTCCCAGAGTTAGAATGGAGTGGCCCTTGCTCTTAAAAACTGACTGTCTAGTGTGGGAGAGGAAGCCACAAAATAAGTGACAGGCAGCTCGGATCCTGGAGCCAAAGAGCCCAGCTTCACAGTTGAACTCCACAACTCAGCGGGTAGCTAACAAAGGGCAAGGTACCTCACCTTCCTGAGCTGAGCCCCTGCTTCCTGCTTGGGAACTGAAGACAATAGTATCCCTGAGCTCACATGACTGGAATTAGGATTCGATATTAGTAATACACCTAAAACAGTCCCTAGCATCCAAGACACAATATGGAAGTGTTTGTTGAGTACGGAACTTCACACTCAGCAAATGCTGGGATCAAGGACTATTGTCACTCGGGTGGAGGATTCAGAAACATGAAGGAGGTGGTAACCGGCTGAGTGCTGAGACGGAGCAGGCCTTAACCAGGCACAGGGCATTTTAGGTGGAGAAACAGCTGATGCACAACCGCAGAGCCGTCTGGGAAAGCACTCACTCTCTCTGAGTGTCAATGGGTGTGAAATCTAGAGCTGGGCAGGATCAGACCACAAGACCCCTTCTTTTCTGCTCCCCATGTGGGAGCTGCACTCACTCCTACAGGTGAAGGGAGCCCCAAATGTGCAAGAGTAAGACCTGGGCTTCCTGAAGTGTCTCCGGCTACTAAGCAGAGCAAGAGCCACCAGTTAGGAAGCTACTCTCCTCCTTCGTTCCTCACGGGACAGATGAGCCCCGCAAGGAGAGACTCAGAAGAGTTCAGGAAGAAACTCAGCAGGGTACGGTGATGCATCATCTAAGCAATCCAGTGAGGGGCCTAAGAGGAACAGAGGTTCTGGTCTGAATGACGGCGAAATGATGTATGACTGGGCACAAGCAGAGAAGGGACCTCCATTTGGGACCTGCCTGGTCTGTTTAAGGTGCCAATAAGCTTTGCAGGCAGAAATATGTGAAACTCAGGAGCAAGGGAAGCCTGCACCACAAGTGGCTGTTATAACTCAGCTGGGGGCAGCAGTGACAGAAGTTATACCAGTAAAGGTGGGGTGGGAGGAACAGAGGCTCCGACAGGGGGCGCACCTTCAGCCGGTCTGAGGAGACTGTAGGCAGACACGCGCCTGGGGAGCAGGACAGATCAGGAGGGTGGTGACGAGGAGTGTTCACTGTCCTGTCTCCCTCAGCCCTCCCACTCGGGCCACACAAGCACACAGAGCCCCACAAGGATGCTCGCTTCTCCGCCCACACCACAACTGCCCGGAGCAGAGCCCTCACACTGACCTCCTGGCTTTCTGCGTTGGGAGGCTCAGACCCTTCTTCCTCTTTGTTCTCCTCCAGGGTCTTCCCGGAAAACTTCTTCAACCAGTCATCATCGGACCAAACTGGCAAGAAAGAAGTATCAAAACCCAGGGTTGATGAAGCTATAGGGACCACAAGTAGAATAAGGGTTTCGGGGGAGACGGGTACAGTCGTGGGGGTGGGGTGGTCAAAGGAAGTATGTCTGGAAACTGACTGTGCAGCAGTTGTACAATTCTGCTTGACTTGATTGAACTGTGGAATGACATGTGTACTGACTTCTAACTCAATACATAAAAAGTAGAGAATCAAGCAGGCGCTATGAAAGTCACGCTTTCAGCCAGTGGGCTGTCACGGGGCTCCATCCCCTTTCTTCCCAGCTTTGGTCAGCGTGTGGAACACACCGTGAGGCTCCGAGTCAGAAGCTTCCTCAGGTGGCTCCCAAAGGAATGCCAAGTTCTCGGTGGCAAACACCGGCCCTAACGGCCAGCTCTTAGCAGAGGCAAATGAAGAGAAGGACAGATGCCCCGAGTCAAGGCAAAAGGGAAGTCTTCAGCCCTTGCTCAGGCTGCAGGGAGGGAATCTAGGGCACATCCAGAAGCAGGAGCTTCGCCGGGAATAAGGCCCTCCGCTCTGCTGAGAAGTTCGAGCTCTGCGTGTCCACGGAGGGGCTACAATGCCTTCTTCACCTCAAGTCACTCCATCCGCCTGTCCCACGTGTCAGTCACCAAGCCACAGAAGAGCGGATGGACACAGCACACACCCGGCGGAAGACCCAACGGGGGATCCAAGGCGATTCTACTCACCTGGTCTGGAAGAGCCCTCCTTAATTCTCATTGGCTTGGCTAAGTTGACACGAATTGTCCGCCCGAAGAGTTCAGATTCATTCTGAAAGATGGAAAGACGAGCCAGTCAGGGGGCGATGTAGCAACAGTGAAAAATACTTTTCTCTAGTTCCTAAATGTTTCCTCCCCGCTCCCACTATCATGATATGAATTCTACCTTGCAAGTCTGGCTAGACCAGAGGATGTACACTGGTACAGATAGGAACTGGAAACACAGGGAATCCAGGGCTGATGATCCCTTCAGGACCAGTGGTGAGAGTGGTGATTCTGGGAGGGTAAAGGGAGAATGGGTAGGAAAGAGGGAACCGATTACAAGGAACTATATGTGACCTCCTCCCTGGGGGACGGACAACCGAAAAGTGGGTGAAGGGAGACGTCGGACAGGGCATGATATGACAAAATAATAATTTATAAATTATCAAGTGGGGAGAGAGGGGAAAAATGAGGACCTAATGCCAGGGGCTTAAGTGGAGAGGAAATGTTTTGAGAATGATGAGGGCAATGAATGTACAAATGTGCTTTACACAATTGATGTATGTATGGATTGTGATAAAAGTTGTATGAGCCCCTAATAAAATGATTAAAAAAAAAAAAAAGATCAGTACATGGAAAACAGAAAAAAAAAGAAAGACATCTTTTTTGTAATACCTGTTCCATTAAGAGGCCCCACATAAGCCTGAGAGGTCTGAGACCAGCATGTGATGCATTCTAAGCCCAGGAGCCCAGGCCCCAGGATGGCCAGCTAAGTGTGGAACCGACCACAAAGAAGCCTGAGCCGCTTTCTTCACCACCACGCAGGCGTGTTGCTGGTGTGACCCTGGGCTTTCAGAAACTGTCAGTCTTGGCACAGCTACCACTGTAAGATGTCATGGCCAGCTCTGAACTGAGGACCAGGAGCATCACTGACTTCTGACATTCTGATGTCAGAGGGACAGAGAATGTGGAGGCAAGTCTTCTAGAACTACAGGTACCAGAAAAAAGTTAAGTGAACAGATTTTTATTTTATCTTTTTTAATGATTAAAAAATGTGGTATTTACTGAATTCGTATTAAAGTATGTACTTAGCACAACAATTTACATATGATTTTTATTAAACATTGTAGAAAACTTTTGAAGGAGATAATAATATCTCAAATTTTTAAGTGAGAAAATGGAATTTCTGCCAAAGGTAATCATTGGAAAGTTGAATTTGAGGCAAGATTACCTGAATCTTTCTACTGTCCCCACAGCTTCCCAATCATTCACTTATTTATCTCATTTATCTTTTATATAAAGAAATATGATATTTTGAAAAGAAGTTGCATTAATAATAATTCATAAAAATTAGAGTAGTTACATAATTTGAAGTTTCATTTGTTCGGTATTTCTGTTATTTTAGTTATTGTTTCATAGTTTTAAAGAAATTCTTTGAGGTCTAATTTATGTAAGGTAAGATATATTTCAAGTGTACTTTGATGAGTTTTTATATATTTATACAGTATAGATGCCATCATTAAAATAAAAAATAAAATATTTTAAACATTTCCTTGTGTTTTTTCCCAATATATCCCTCTTCAACTAAAATCTTAGGCAATTATTGATTGTTTTGTCACTATGATTGGTTTGTCTGTTTTTTAATCATTTTATTAGGGGCTCATACAACTCTTATCACAATCCATACATATATCAATTGTGTAAAGCACATTTGTACATTCATTGCCCAAGTCAACAGATTTTTAATGAGAAGTTCATCCTGAACTTTTTAATGAAGACTACAAAATAGAAGAAAACCAATCCCTTAATTTAATAAGATTTAGGCTATAATTATAACCTAGTTCTTGCTCCTAGGAAAAAGATCAGGTACTCACTTAATTTCCAGCAGTTAAAAAAAAGATGTATCAAATGATAGCATGAACTGACATAAATGTAACAAAGTGGACACTCACAGAATGTGAGTCCTCCTGTTAATGCCCAGCAGCTATGAGTAGTTTGTTATATGGCAAACGGGAATTCAGGCTGCTAGTCAAGAGACTTTTAAAATAAAATTATCCTGGATGTGCTGGGTGGCCTCGAAAGGTGGACGAGAAAAACAAAACAAATCCCCTGTAGAGGAGACTGCGACTCCTATCAACTCGGTAGGACAGAGCAGAAAACGTGGAAGAGGGAGGCGGGGCAGTTCCTTTCTGGCTGATAGCGAAGGAAAAGACTCAGCCAGTCATGGCTCCCCTTGAATCTGAGGGAGCCACAAGCAAGGAATGCAGGTGGCCCCTAGAAGCCGGAAAAGGCAAAGATCCGGATTTGCCCTGAGAGCCTCTGAAGGAAATGAGGCCCTGGCAACAGCGATGGTAGCTTGTGGAGGTGCCATGTTGAACTTCTGACCCCTGGAGCTATACAATAATGTCTATGCTGTCTTAAGCCACCATATTTGTGGCTTATTTGTGTAATATGTTAAAGCGGCAATAGGAAACTCACAGGTTTTATCCGTGTTCCCAGTGATTTCTCAAGGACTTTCAAATAATTCTTTTAAAGCACTAATCTGAGCACCTCTTCGGTCTTCTCTTCCTCAGCTGTTCATGAGTCTAACTCTACGAGAACCTCACATTTCCATGGCTCCGTCTTTGAGTAGAGCCAAGTAGAGTGGTTCTCCATAATCACTTTCACAGATGTGAGGAAACGGCTCCCCCTTTGCAAACTCCCCGTTTTACTTTGCACCGGTTGCACTCCATAAGCAGTATGCATTGCCCTAGACTCGATGTGGCAGGGTTGAATTCCTTGGTATGGCTTCTTCTCATGGTCTTAGTGTCATAGTAACTCCCCCAAATCCCCGGGTGTACGCATGCAAATAGGGTGTATGGGGCCCTAAGGAGGCAATTGGTCGGTTTTGGCATCCTGCAAGGGAGGTATGAAAAGAACCACTTCAGAAGCAGGGAGAGAGGGGACCCCACGATCATCAAGAAGGAAGACCTGAGCACAGAGCCTCTTCAGGACCCCGGGATGAGGAAAGCCGAGTGCGTGTGGGCAGGAGGCTGGCTTGTAGAGGGGGGTGCCCTTTGGGAATTTAGCAGCGCTAAAGGAGTTTGTAACACTTGCCAGGTAGGGCGGAGGATAGTGGGCCATGTGGCTGAGAGGTCGAGGGCCAGAGAGGCGTGTCTGCCAGCATGGCTAAGAGACTCTGCAGACAGAATAACTGTACCCTTAACATTCCATTCTGACTTGCAACTTGTCAAGGTCTTTAGTAACCGTGTGTACTGTCTATGAGTTCAGGGGGGCTATTGCAACAGATGATCAAACCCAGCAGGGAAGAAGGGTGTCATGGGAGGAAGGGCTGGTGTCAGACCAGTGTGGAGCAGTTTGGGGGGGAGAGGGGGCATGTCTGACCTCTGTCTGCTTTGTGGGCATCAGCCTCGGGCTAATGTGGCGTTGGATGCTCCTTCCCCCTTGTGTACTGGAAGTCAGATGGGGTCCCCCTGTCTGAAAACTTTCTGTTAAGGTCTCCTCAGTCAATTAATTGCAGGCTACATGTAGTCCGTACTGGATACACTCCATTGCCATCTTTTTTTGCCCTCCTTCAAAAATTAACAACAATAATAATAACCCTTTAAAAATGTACAAACCATTTAGTTTACAGCCTGTATCAAAACACAAAAACAGTAAAACAGAGGTTGGGGGATGGTTTTGCCCCATAGATCATAGTTTTTTGATCCTCTAGAAACACATAAGCGCCAGCAGGAGAACGGCTAGCAGAGAAAGTGGGGAATTCTGCTAACATTAACTGAGCAGGGATGATGGAATGAGCTAACTTTATTAGCGGCCAGTACGGAGAGAGTGTGTTCAAACCGTTAAGAACTTGTGCTTCCAACTTAACTTTGAACTGTGGAAACGGAAACTCAACAAGTGGAGGCGAGTCCCTCTAATGTAGTGACAACAGCTTCAGTAAAATGTGGAAAAGGATTCCCGGGCATACCATGTTGTCGATAGCTGCTGCAGCATCCTGCCAAAAGGAAGAGTTCATGATCGCAATTCATTCTTTTTGTTCAAATGAAGATTCAGGGCAGCATGGCTTAGGAAAAGATAAAATTCTCCTTTCTACCTGCCCAAACCAAACCAGAGCCAGTCATTGAGGTGATTTCATTTATAGTGAATGCCCCGTTTTGGGTTTCTGAGACTGTCTTTTCAGGAGCAGCTGGTAGATTTGAACCACTAACCTTGACGCTAATGGCCCAACACACCTAGACCACTGTACTACCAGGGCTCTCTTCCTGCCTGCCGAGATGGTAATATATTCACCAAAGGGCAGATGGCAACTGCCAGTCAGAGCCCGTGCGATATGGACAGTGCTCTGGCTATGGAGACGGCCAGGACCCGCTGATGCCTGTCCACAGCTTTACCGTGGGCAGGGGCAGTCCCCGCTGCTGCACTCTGACCGTGTGGGGGAACTCTGAGCCAACAGGGGTGGGATTTCCTTCAACCAGCGCTTTCTATCTCTCGGAAACTGCCATCTGCATGCGGAGAAAGGCCTCTAGATAGAGAGCGGCAGCTTTACGACTAGTGACCGTGGTGGCACTAGTCAAAGACTGGACATGGGACATTCCTTACCTCTGCCAACTCGAATTCAACAAAAGCGAATCCTCGGTGCTTTTCTACAAAAGAGAAAGGGGACATCACCAGAGGGCACTAGGAGGGCACATGCCACACCCAGGCCCAACTTAGAATGAAAAAAAACAATAACCTGCTTTTATGGAGGAGAGAATCATTTGCCTTTTTCAACAAAGCTTCTAGAAGCAGTTATGATTTTGTGTTTTAAATAAACCAGGTCAACAATGAACTAAAGCATTAAACTCTGAAGTATACAATGCTAGCACCACACAATTTAATCTGTGTCTTTTCTAAGCATTCTATTAACCTGCTTACAAGACTCAGCAAACAGGAACCGTCTACGGACTCTTCATTCCAATCGAGCATCAACCATGTATGATATGAGCACTGGCCTTACCACTGCGTAAGGTGAATATTCAAGAAAGAAGCAAAGCTTCTAGCTTGGGGGTAGACAAAGAGCAATAAGTGCTACTAACTTACAAAACTGAGGTGTAGAAAGACTCCCCAAAGCCTTTCTATTCAAGATTTGAAGAACTAGGCCTAGTTTAGAACTGGGCCTAGTTTAGAAAAATCACAGCAGAGGCTTGCAGAGAAACGTGTGCTGCAGCCGGGAGAGCAACTGAGGAAGACTCTTGAAGGTGAGCAGCCACCGAGACTCTGCTGCTGGGGCTGAGCGCCCCTGGTGCCCTCGGCTCTAGTGAACAGCACAGCTGCTGAGAAACAAGGCCTGGCCCAGGAGACAGTGAGAAGTAACACCCAGGCCTTCAAAGAAAACATAGAGGCAGTCTTCCTATGGTTTCTTATTATATTTAGATTTTATATTTTGTGATCAGAAATCAAAGCCCCAATTGACTCCAATGTACGAACATCTCCCCACAACCTCAACAACTGCCATTCTCTGTACACTGCAGCCCACACGCCTGCTGCCCCAGTCTTCCTAGGCTCGGAGAGTTCCTGCAGCATCTCAGGCTGAGCTACCGTCACCCTTCTGAGCATCATTACAGTTGGGCCTCATTCTTTGACGCAGGTCTGTTCTCTGAGGTCCCAGAAGCAAACGCTGAGTCGCTGCCTCCAGAGGGCCAATGGTAACGTCTCATCCAGACCTCGGTCCAGAACCTTGTAGGATGGGTTGCTGTCTGTTGTTAGCAGCTGTCAAAGATCCCGGCACATCCCAGCAACCCCTTGCCCAACAGGAGAAAACACTACCCATCCAGTGGTAGGCAGGGCTGTTCCAAGCCAGAGCTAACTTCTGGAAGAAACCCCCCAGGCCTTTCTTTCAAGCCTGCCTGAGTCGGGAAGCTCTGGGAGAGCCGAGGAGCATCACAGTGGCAGCGTGCAAGCTTCCACTGCCACGATGGGGGCTGCATACGAGTGCTCCCGCTGGGACTGGGTGAGAATGCCACCACTGACCAGTCACTGTCACCATCCCCTGTTGTTTTGAGATTGTACCTCACTCAACACATATCATTAACTCATTAACTCATTAACACCATCCACATTTCTGGCCACCAGCACCCTAATTCACGCCTGGGTGAAGTTTATCTAACACACACACACACTTTCGCAGGCATTCATAGACCAGTCCTCGTGCTTGTGCTCAGGAACACTAGCCAACACCTCATCACTAGACTTGGGGGCCATTCGAAACCCTGAAATCACCAACAAAAAGCACAACCATGTGAAAAACACAGCACAAAGCTGAGAGAAGGCAGAGCTTCGCTTGGTCCACCACCTATCAGGTGACTCAAAAGTTTGCACCAGCTCTGCCCCTGTCTGCAAAGGACTGTGAGGGAAGGCCACACTGCTGTGACACGGACGCTTAGCAAGTAGCGGGAATCACAGGTCAGCGACCAATGAGGCTCGACTGTCCAGCCAGACCCAGCATGCAAATGGCTACAAATCCTCCCGGAGTTCTTTCCCTGCCACCAGGAACCTGAAAACAGGGAGGGGAAGGAGCATGTACCCGTTTCATAATCCAGAGGAATCTGAATATCCGTGATGTCTCCAAAGGGAATAAAAGCAGCATGAAGAACTTTGTCGTCCACCTCCTCTGCCAGCCCACCTGCAAGACAGACGCCAAGGACCTTCTGAGCCGCTGCCCTCCAGATATTGGGAGCAGCTGCTGCAACCCACTGGGAGGGGGGAGGGGGGCTCCCTGCGGTCTTTGGGGTCCACAAAGGGACTGCAAGGTTCACTCCTCTTCAGAGCCTCACCTAGCCCCTGGTTACCGTTCTCCCTCCTACGCAGCCACCAGAATGATTCTAACTCAAACCAAACTCATTGCTTTCGAGTCAGTGCTGACTCAAAGCACCCTACTGCGCGTTTCCAAGATTGTAGCTGTTTAAGGGAGTAGAAAGCCCAGTCTTTCTCCCTAAGAAACTGGTGGTGGTATTGAACTGCCAATCATTCAGACCAAAGCTCAACTTGTAACCACTATACTACCAGGGCTCTCTCTAGATCCTTATGATTGATTTCCACTACCATCCAATTATTCCATTATCTTTTCAATTCTTTCCCCATTGTTTTAAAACCTTTTTGTGTGTCCCTGCCCCTACTTACTATTCTTTGAAAGTTCCCTGCTAACAAGAGGATCAAGTCCAAGCCCCCACAACTGGCCCCCATCCCCAACGATGTGCCCCAGATGTCAAACCCACTTCACACCTCTGGGCTTTTGCACTTGTTGCGCTCCACTCAAGGTCTCTAGGTGGTGCATTTGGTCTACACTTGACTGATAACCTACAGGTCGTTGGCTAGAACCCACCCAGAGGAAAACCCTCTGACTAAACTCACTGCCCAGGAAGTGATGTTGACTCAAAGCCACCCTACAGGACAGGGTAGGACTTCCCCCATGAGTTTCTCAGACTGTAACTCTTTATGGGAGTAGAAAGTCCCACCTTTCTCCTGTGGAGCGGCTGGTGGTTTTGAACTCCTGACCTTGCTGTGAGCAGCCCAACCCATAACCACTACCCTAAGGGGGTAGAAAGGCCTGCTAATCCACTTCCCAAAAGAAAACCCTATGGAGTGGGCTATTCCAACCAAGTGTCCACAACCCTGGGGCAAGAACTGGATGGCACGTGGCTCCCAAGTGCTCTGAAAGGGGATCACAGAGGAAGGTCCAGTGGGGGGGTGGAGGGTGGGGTGGAACAAAATTCAAAATCTTAAGAAAGACCAGGCTTACGGGTCAGATAGAGGATGATGCACCACCACCACCCCTTCCCTCCCCCAGACACACACCCTATGGTTCTTGGTGACTTCAGGAGGGGTGGGGGGCTGAATTCACCCGCCAAGCTCCATTCCCAGCCAAACAAAAAACTGGTCTACGAGGTGTGAGGTAGCACAGACCAGAACAGCCAGCCACGTGAGATCCTGGGGGCAGCATTTCCCCAGGGCAGATTCAGAAGGGTTAGGGGCCGCGAGGAGGGATGAGTGGGGGTGCATCGAGGGGGTTGCAATGAATGAGAGGAAGCAAAGTGCGCGGGACCCTTTGAATGAAAAACTGACGCGCCGCTCTGGAGACCTTGGGCCAGTTCACGATAA